AAAAGGACAAAAAAAAAAAAAAAAAAATCAAATATATAATCAGGAAAAGGATGAGAGGCTATAGTGGGACAGCATGATTTCAGTGGGGCCACAAAGAATTTGAGTGAAAGATAGTGAAATTTTTCATTCTCATGGCTGCTCTTCATTTGTCTCATTTAGGAACAAAGACTTTTATAATATTTAGCAGTTGGAAGTACTGGTAAGAGCCAGATATCTTCAACCTTCTTACCCTTTTTATGTTCCTAAGTCATGAACAAGTCAGGAGATGAGGGAGCAGGCATGAGGGACATGATAAGATGGTAAGATGGTTAGGTCTGAGAGTATCCATCAGAAAGAAAGTTCTAGAGGTCTCCATTTCTCTGAACTCTAGCTAATTTATGCTTCTACATAGCCAGTTGGTGCCAGGATGCCCTCATATCCCCAGAACTTGTTGACCATGGTGCTTCATTTGATTGTGATTTAAGTTGTTCAAAGTACTTTGCAGTATAGGGAGTTTTAAAGTTTTTGTTGTTGTTGTTGTTTATTTGCTTGTTTGTTTTTTAGACAGGGTCTCGCTATGTAGCCCAGACTGACCTCAAACTCATGATGATCTTCCTGTGTCAGCCTCCTTAGTATTAGGACTATAGACATGTAGTCTGGTCTGGGAGTTTTAAAGTTTTTAAACAAAAAGTTGAAGGAAAATAGGGAAATAAAGAGCCTCCTATATCATGTTTTGTCTTAACAGATTCTGTACATTTATTTTACATATGTTCACAGACTCATTAAAAAACACTTTCTATTAAGGAAAAATGCTATCCCCTACCTTTTTTCTTTTCTTTTCTTTTTAATGCATGTGATCTCAGTAACCAAAGCTATTATACTGACTACCTTAGTTTCAGCTTTCTTTTAACTGCCTGATTCTAATAACTGGTGATATTTAATTTTTTAATTTTGTCTACTTTTCCCTCATACTCAGTAACTGTGCTGCTGCTTTGCATTTGAGTTTGTGCCAGATATATGGGAAGCTCTGTCAGGAATGATAGCATTGAGAAGAGGATTTAGTTGAATCTCCCCCCACCTTTTTTGTTACCCGGAAATCAAGCTCAGAACCTTGTGCTTACAAAGTGAGTCTTGTTTTTTGAATGCTGGTACCGAGAAAGGGTCTGCTTTCTTCAAAGACTGGTTCTTTCTGAACTGCACATTCCTAGGGTGCCAGCAAAGTCATATGTGCCTCAGAGAATTCAGCTTACAGATTTTTGTTTCTGTTGTGTTCTTAGAAGAGCAAACCTCTAATTACCAATGAGCTTGATAAATATGAGTGCTAAGAAGAAATACTTGTGTTCCTTTTAAAGTCATCTGTTGTTAGATTGAACTAGCCACTCCTGCTAGTCTTTGAATTTATTGTTTATGCATGTGCATTAAAAAATTGTGATTTTAGATAGAGAAAAATTAAATTGCCTCAGGTGGATTTAAACACATGGATTGTCTGTTCCCTTTCCTGAGCAATGGCTGTTCTGTCAACTTTTACTGTGGTGTCCACTCCAGGATGGTACCCGAATGCCCCATTCTTTATGTATTTGAAATGTGTAGGGATTTTTCTCATTTTAATATTGCTGTTTTCGTTTAGTTATTCTGGGCCTTTTCTTCTACTTTAGAAAATAATTATCTACTGTCTGTAAAACTATCTTTTAATCTTCGGATTAAAGATTGCTTAATGATAGTACCTATTTATGGCTAGTGGCATGTTTTTCTTTAACACTGGTGTTTCTGCATGGACTTATAAGTTTCTTTTTTCTTTTTCTTTTTCTGTTTTGCAACATTAGATAGGCATGAAGCCTCGTCTCACAGCTGCATGCATAGTCACTGTTGAAGGAAATGCCTACCTAATTTGACAGTCTTGCTGTGTTTAAACTTTTTTGCATTTGCAAATAAGCCTGTTAAATCTACTGATGGAGCCTTCAGGCAGTGAACAGTTATATGAGGACCCTGATCCTGGAGGCAGATCCCAAGATGCAGAGGCCAGGAAGCAAACAGAATCAGAACAAAAGTTATCTAAGATGACCCACAATGCTTTGGAGAACATTAATGTGATTGGCCAAGGCTTGAAGCACCTTTTCCAGCACCAGCGAAGGAGGTCGTCAGTGTCTCCACATGATGTTCAGCAGATTCAGGTCGATCCAGAACCTGACATGGATCTGGAAAGCCAGAATGCAGGTGCTGAGATTGACGGTGTCCCCACCCACCCCACAGCTCTGAACCGAGTTCTGCAGCAAATCCGAGTGCCACCCAAGATGAAGAGAGGGACCAGCTTGCATAGTAGGCGGGGTAAGCCAGAGGCCCCAAAAGGGAGTCCCCAAATCAACAGGAAATCTGGCCAGGAAATGGCAGCTGTGGCCCAGGCAGGCCGGCCCCGGTCTTCCTCCACAACCGACGCTCCTACAAGCTCCACAGTGATGGACATAGCCTGCGCAGCAGCTGCCTGTCTGCCGGGGGAGGAGACACCCGCAGAACGGGTGAGTCCACTAGCTTTTTTGTTTCTGTCGACTCACTGCTTTTATGGACTTGTGTTTGTATGTGCACACACTATTCCAAGACAGATACTTGGCTGATTTTCCAGTGCGTCCCTTGTGTTCTAACTCTTCTCCTACCTGGCTTTCTAAAGCCACCTACTGCCTCCTTAGCTGTCCACCATATATCAGTCCAGTGTGTGTGTGTGTCTTGCTTTTTTTCCAGTACTGGGAAGTGAACCCAGGGGCACGTCTCAGCTAATCTACATCCACAAACCCATTGTTTGAGGCAAACTCTTTCTAAATTGCCCAGGTTTGGAATCAAACTGATGAACCTGCCTCAGCCTCCCAAGTAGCTGGGATTACAGTTGTGGGTTACCACATTATGCTTAGATCATTCTTTTTTAAAATATATGTATTAGTAACTGCTATATTCTGGCACCATCCAGCTTCAAAGGCTGATTTTATCTATATACCATGTCATTTCTCCATTATTGTGTATTGGAAGTTGGTCTGGGTACTTGAGAGATGGAAAAAAGGTACAGGAATACCATGTTTTACTTTCTGTACTTTCAAATGTTAACTCCATTTGTATATCTAATATGCTAGATACAGTCAGCTAATGGCATTTAATTTATAAATGTTTGGGATAGTGGTTCATTATCAGACCCTTCTGTGAGATTTTTTTAAATGCTTATATTAAAAAATTGATTCTATAAAGTTCTCCGGGATGTCTTTGAAAACTTTCTGATCTTAAACTCAATAAACTTACAGTCTAGTCGAAATGTGGCAAACAATATATAAAGTGGTATCTGTATGATAACGGTGTACAGGTACAGACAAATTGGAAGAGAAAAATCATTTTGGGTTGAAGTGCATGAGAAGCTTAATGGTGGAGGAAATGTGCTTGGATTGGAGAGAGGAGTGATTGGATAGATACACAGTAAGTAGGGGTAGGAGAAGGGGTTATATCAGATAGGAGGATGGTAGCAGCATGGTCAGTGGGATGGCAAATTGGGTGTTGTTGCCAAAGAAGCATGCCTGGCAGCAGCTGCCTGAGGTCCTGTTCAGAATGAGAGGGGTATAAACTATTCTTTCCTTTAATCTCATATCCATTCAGCATATTTCATCAAACTTGTGAGCACTTGTTCATGTGCAAGGTATTCTGAGAAAGGCTGCATGGATATTTAGATGGTACCATCTAAGAAGATACTTTAAACTAGCAGGAAGATAAGATGTACACATATAACAAAGTAACTTTTGAACTTTAGTAAAGCCATTTATCATGAATTATCTTACTTGATAATTTCAAGGTGCTAATGAAGGTATTATTGTAGCTTTTTTCCCCACAGACTAGAAAACCAGAATGACTTGCTCAGGGCCATACAATTTATAAATAAGGGAGTGAGGCTTTGATTTCTGTAGGACAGTTTTTTTTCTATGATGCCATTCTGTCTGTCCAAATATACTACAAAATAAAATGTGATAAGTGTCCTAAGTAGTACAAAAATATATGGATGTTTGGGGAAGGCACACTTAGTTTTGTCTCGGGGAATTTGAGAAAGCTGGCCTTGGAAGAGTGGACTCTGGGATGTTTGCGACAGTAAGAGGCAAAAGGGTATTCTATAAGTTGCAGGCTTTGATGATAAAACTAATTAGTGTTTTCTCTCAAGGTATTCATGACTTTGGATAAGCCTGGACCTTTTGGCTGGTGTGTTGAGAAGGTCCAGAGATGCCCTTAGAACTTGAGACAACATCACATCTCAGCAGTGTGCTTCTGCCAACACCTAAGGAGACAACAGTGTTTACATACTACCTCAGCAAAAATAATACTGTAGGGTCCTTACCGCTAGTGATAGTCCTCATCTTCTCCTGTACCTGGGTGTGGGAGCCCATGGAGCCTAGCCATGGCTCATACCACTTTTCACTCTTTTATAAAGGAGCGCTCACATACTTCCAGCCATGCTGAGGTTTCATCTCCAGCTTCTCATATGCATGGTTATTCATTTAACAATTGTATATTAAATATCTGATATATGCTAGGCACTGGGTCACTACAGGAAACAAAACTGGGTATGGCCCTTACCTGTGAAGTTGATCATCATATGGGGATACATGTTAATCATTTGAACAGATATAAACTTTGAACTGTGACAAGTACAGCAAGACCCTGTTTTATAGAGAGAGCTGATCTATTAAAGGAGTCAGGTCGGCTTTCTGAGGCAGTGACTAGGGTCTACAGGATAAGCCAAGGTAATTAGGTGATAGGGAGTTGCAGGGACAAAGGCCCTGGAATGGGAGAAAATCTGCTAAGAGTGTGAGTAGGTAGAGGAGTTGCTGGTTCAGGCTGGAAATTTGATAACCAATCACAGAGGCTTGCAGACAGTGGTAAGGAGCTTTTTGGTATTTCAAGAGGAGTAGCATTCTAGATTTTAAACCATGAACATCATCATCTTAGTGATTAGAAAAATATTTCTGTGCTTACAGCACAGAGAATGTGTTGGGATGGGTTCAGATTAAGTGAAGGCAGATAAGCCAAAAGGCTATCATGACAATCTAGTCCTGTCATCCTGAGAGGTGACAGCAGTCTGGGCCAATGCAGTGATGGTAGAGGTGGAAAGAAGAGTTACCCGAGGGCAGGGGTTGTCTTTGTATTTGAATTACCAAGCTCAATATTTCTGTCTTCAATTTGTCCATTGCATTAGTAGGATAATGATATAGAGGAGCAAGAAATGATGTCTTTGATAACTGAGTTTGAGAATGTCCATGGGTAAATCTGTGAAATGGAACAAGCTCTCTCTCAGTCATTCAGTAGTAGTCATTAAATAACTTCTGTGTGCAGGGCAGTGTTCTAGGCAGTTAGGGTGCACCAGAGAACAAAGATGTCTGCCCATGTGAACTTGCTCAATGTTGGAGGTGATGGCATGCAGTAGATGTAGATAAATCCTGCACCATGTTGTCTTTGTTCCATGCGTAGCACCATGGGAAGATTTGGAGCAGGATGAGCAAGACCAAAAGAGTGTGTGTGTGTGTGTGTGTGTGTGTGTGTGTTGGGGTTAGTTACAGCATGAAAGATGATGATGAGGGTAGGCTTTATGGGGAAGGTGATAGTGGGGTACAGATCTTTGGGATGATGGAGTCAGCCCTAAGGCGGGTGAGCATGTAGCATCCTAAAGTTAGATTGTGTATCTCACTGTCATAAATAAGATTAGAAAATAATTGTTTTAATTTAGCTTGATTAAAATGGAAAAAATTTTTCTTAAAATGGGTTTTTTTGTAATCCCTTTTACTTGGGATACTGAGACAAGAAGATCTTGAGTTTGAGGTCAGACTGGGCGACTTAGTGAAATGCATGTCTCAAAAACAGGCAGGGGAGGGGATGGTGTGCTGTACTTGCCATTTACAAGCCGAGTGTTTCAGCAAATCAGACACTACAGTCGAATCTTTAGGGCCCTGCCAAATTTGTTCTTCCATTCTACGATGCACAGCTAGCTCATAGGGATACAGGTGAGAACGGCAACCTAGTAAATGGAGCCAAAAGTTGGTTTATGTTGTCAGCCTTCATTTTCTTCTATCATGTTTTTCATAAAACACGGTGGATTGAACAGTGTTTCTTCCAGTATTTGCTCATTCATACATTCATACATTCACTCCACAAACACTGTTTGACCTAGGACTATTGCAAGTTGGTGGGGGCTTCTTCTTTAATAATAACACTATTTGTGGCTGTGCAGGCCAGCTGGCATTTTTTACACTGCAGAGTGAAAGCTGCTGGGAAAGGCAGAGGGGGCAGCTCAATGGCTGGTTACAGCTGCCCAGGCATGTGGGCAGGCATGTCTGGGTGGGTCATGGAGGTGTCGCTGTGGGGTGTGTGTCTAGTTCTCAGCCCCTTCCTCAACTCTGCTTCCTGGCTGCTATGAACTAAGGAGCTTACAGTAGGTAAATGACAATGGCCTGGGTGTGGCATGTGGGCTGGGTGCCTTTGGATGCCTATTTGTACCTTTGGTGTTAATAGCATGTGCAAGTGAATAACCAGATAGTCTTTGCCCTTGTAGAGTTCACTGTGTAGAAAGGGGAGGTAAATAAAGCAAGTAAAATGCAGTATATGAGAGTCATGAAGAACTCTGAGTAGAGTGGTGAGTGGAAGACCGCCTGGGCATATAACATCTGGCAGACCTCATGCATCTGGCATGAGCAGAGGAAGGGTAGCATGTCATTGTCCCAAAGTTGTACTTTATTAGCATTCAGGGGAGAGGGGGAGAGGGCACTTGAAGGCCATAGGCCTGGCTCTGTGTGTGTGCCAGATGATTGAGGAGCAGTTCTTACTATCAGGACTGACCCATAGATAGTGTGTGTGAGTGTGCACACATACTTACACTATTGAGACACATTTCTGAATACAGTATATAAGTCTCAACTGTCTTTTCTATTAAATTTCTTTATAACAGATTTTATTCCACTGATAACTGCCTCTTAAGCAACCATTAGGATACTGGATGGTGTGCGGTGTGTTGGTACTGAAATGGAGAAGGTGTTCAGAAGCGGCAGAGGTGCCTTAAGAGTTTGAGACCAGTGTAGTCCTTTCCATCACAAGACAACACAATGCAGATAATCAGGTAGAGATGCAGACAGGAGCACTCCATGGTGAGCCTCTGGTGACCATGACCATGCTGCTCTTAGAGTCCCATGTGTCCCACCTGGAACCCCAGGGCCTAACCGGTCTGAGAGCTGATCAGACTTTCAGGGATTGTAGAGATGAAGCTGGGAAAATGGGTGGTTATAGGCAGATGATTTTTAAGGATTCAGTTTTGGTGGAGCTAGGGAGCACTCTGGGTAGAAAGGGTAGTTTCAGATGCTGACCACCAGATGGTACCCAAGGCCAAGAATGAGTAGGTGCTAGCGCAGAGTGACTCCTGCCGACAGGACATCAAGTAACTGCAGGTAATGTTTTGAGAAGCAACCCCCTGCAGTAGCTCACTAGCATGTGGACTGAACTGGACATGCAC